TCCGCCCTCAGCAGCGAGGCACCCCGGGCCGCCCCCGCCCCCGCCCGGCTCACGCGACGCACGGTGGGGCCAGGTCTGAAAGAGCCGGCCAAACTATGAGCACGTTATCCAAATTTAACACTTCGCATACAAAGGTGTTTGGCACGCCGATTACGATTCCAGTGCCAAAATTGCAAAAAACTATTTTAAAATGTCAAAATTACTCAATTAATAATTAATGTTTGCACAAAATGATATAATTAATCTGCTGTTTTCTTTTAATGGAAAACAGGTGCAACAGAGTTCCACAACGAAATTTGTAAAATCTTCATTCTTTAATATTTGTGGCTGATACAATATGACGTATTAAAATTAAACTAGTGGTCCTACAGAATGGCACGGACTTTCCCGCATTAGTTTCTATTTCCTTTGGTGTCAGCTAGCTATTCGAACTTGCCACATACTCTTGCCAGCTGCCATCTCTCGCCGCTCATACTACATTTTATTAACGTTTTCTTAATTTTTCTGTTTCCTAACGAACGAATAGAACGGAAATATTATTTTACGAATATTAGAGGACAGTAAAAACTCGTCCAAAATGATAATTTTCTTTGGAAAGTTTGCAGCCGTTTTTACTAAAATGGTGTTTAAGCGCTACTTTAAATTCGAAATTTGAAGCTCTTTTTCACAGAAAATGTTTGACGTTTCAGAAAAACTTCATTAGAAGTCATTTGAAGCACATAAACCAACAAATACAATAGTGATCATAAATTTCTGGAAATGTGCATATTAATGGTGTGAGATGTTTTTAAAAAACATTGCATTTGTGTAATTTTTGAAAAAGTAAAATATACACCGAAATAAACTTAACATCATAACAAAGAGTGCAATAAGCACCATCAGTTCAAAAAGTTTGAAGAAAAGATTCTGAGCCATTTATGAGAAAATGACGTTTGAGCGTTTCTGAAAATGTGGAATTTTGAGACAGTTTTTATAGAAAACTATTGTTTTCGAGAAACTGTATATGACATTACTCAAGTATTCATAAATAAAATAATGTGAACAAATAGCCGTTAATATAACTATTAACGACGTAAGAGACAAGTCAAAAAATTACATTTTTGTAATATTTGCAAGAACAAAAGAATAGAGAAACATGGCATTTATGTCATCTTATAGAGTACATTTAGCACTATCCGTACCAAAAGTTTAAAGAAAAATTTTATAGTCGTTTTTGAGAAAATTGATATTCCCTAGACTATCTGGCTCCACTCCAGGCACCGTTATTTTTAAAAACTTTCTTCAAAATCTGGGGGTACTTTACATGAAGCCTCCAGAACATTTTCAAAATTTTCCCAAAAACGGCTTCAAATTTGTTAGAAGTAGTAGTTAAAGAAGCCTTGGAACGGATTGAATGAACTCTGTGCTTCAAAATATGTTGCAGCCAAAGGCCAAAAGGCGTGAGCCAAATGGCAAAGGCGTATGCTTCATGGAGTACAAAGTTTGATCCTAAGGTTTCCAGAATCTCCCCACTACTGTTCTTGGATATGCGGTATTGGGTTTCTGGAAAACTCAACCGTTACCTGTGAAAAAAGCTCAAAATTCCGCATTTTCAGAAGGCTCTAACGTCCTTTTCTTCAAACATATCTGAGGGATAATGCTAATTTCACTCCTTAAAATGACTTAAAGTTCATTTCGGTGTATTTTCAGTTTTTTCAAAAATAATACAAATTAATTTTTTTTAAAGATCTCTCACGCCGTTGATATGCACATATCCAGCAATTTGTAAACACTTCTGTATTTGTAAATTAAAGTACTTAAAATGACTTTAAATGAAGATTTCTGAAAACAAAAAAAAATCTGTGAAAAAGCGCTTCAAATTTCGAATTTACAGTAGCGTTTAAACGCCAGTTTTTTAAAACGGCTCCATATTTTTCAAATAAAATTGCCACTTAGGACGAGCTCTTACTGTTCTTTAATGTGATGCCATCGTATAGTTCAGTTACGATTTCCGTGAAGGCACCACCTGATTGCCGCATGCGGGACCGAGCCGAAGGCGTTTGCAATGGCTGGGAGTGCGAGGCTCAGTCTGGTCCGCCCAGTTGTGGCGCGAAGGAGCTCCCAGCTGAGCGTGTAATTCTGCTCCAGCACGCCATTGAAGGGGTAGAAGACTTTTTGTGCATTTGCAAGGACAGTATTTGCCTCCATCCATCTCGTGAAGCGGGCGGGCCATAATTCGGTATATAGTTTGTAGATTGTTGCCGTAAAAGCAAGGGGGTCCCAGTGAGAAGGATCGTTTTCATTTCCGCCTTTGTCAATTAAAACCGGGCGTGATTGTTGCCGTTCGCTGGGCACTTTGCCCGACTTTCTGATTACATTAAGCTGTATGGTAAGCAATTTTGCATCCGGATCTATGATTGAGATGTCCATAGGAAATTCGGTCCCCCCTTGGGGGGTGTTGGCACCGAGGGCAAGTCTCTTCGATACTTCTTCTTGGGTAAACTCTGTAGTGGTTCATTCATCCCGTTCGGTGATTGTTTAGAAAGTTTTACTGTACTCATCTTCCTGTAGTTGAATATGTACTCGTACGACCGTGAAAAATTCAATCTGCTTGGTCTGGCTGATGGAACATCTATTATTTTTGTTCTGAGCATCTGGACTGCATCAGAGGCTGCGCCGGGACGTTGAGTACGGGATCGTAGAAGTTCAAGAAACAGCCAACGCCATTGCGGATTTTGACCGACTATTTGATTATCCAAATGGTGCTACTAAACGTAATTGCTACAGAAAAAAAGAAATCAACGCGCCCTGCCAAAAAACAAAGTATTGATCCAGAACGATGGTCTCTGGACACTATAAAGTGTGGAGGGAAATGATAAACTCAGAGGAATGGTATGTGTGTGAATAAACGAGGTAAAACTTCATGCGAATAACAATTGCTACAGTATACATTTTTATCACTGAATAATAAGAAATACTTTTCAGAGTATACTGTGAAATTATAAAATGTAATTGTGATATTACATTCAATAAATACATTACCATTTTAACTTGTTTGTGCTTGAATATATGCTTTATTCCTACATTTTCCTATAATTTTAATACTTAATGAATATATATATATATATATATATATATATATATAATTTGTGGCAGTGAGACCTGCCCTGAGGAAGCCTGCGACATGTCAGGCGAAAAGTCGGCCTCTCAGCCAACGACACGGCGCCTCCCGGATAGCCAAGAATTAATCTATTTACAAATTGTATCCAAAAGGACATATTTTTACGTATTACTGACTCTCAGACAAACAATTTAGCTTTTTCAAACCTTTCTTGCTGTAGCTTCCTCTCTAAAATGCTGCTATTGCTTCGCATTGAAATGCATGTCCGAAATATCCGGCGTTAGGTGGATGTAAATCCGCCCAATAAGAAAAATTCAACATTCCAAACGGAAAATTTGAATTTGCATTAAAATAATTGAACTAGAAGACTTTTTTGAGATAGTGACCCTATGAAATGCTTGATTAATTTTATTTTTTGAGAACATTGTAACTAATAATAATATTTATGTAAAACTCATACTTTTTGTAATAATAAGTTATATCTTATATTCAAAAATTAGTTATGACTATTCTTATGACATCAGCAGATGGGAGGAATACTTTAACGAATAAAATAATTTCCCCATTTTACAATTTTCCATCTTCTAGCTAATCTTAAATATCCGCGCTTAAAAATTTACCACAGAAATGCTTACATATGCATGCTTATTCCCTATGGCTTAACGGAAAATATTGGCAGTGAAACTGCCAATAATTGCCTTATATATATATATATATATATATATATATATATATATATATATATATATATATATATATATATATATATAAGGCAATTATTTGTGCAGGATAATAACGAAGCCAAAATATGTTTTCCTGTAAATAGAGTGGAGTTTTATTCACTTTTATCAATTATTATTTACATTCTTATACGAAAAACTATTTACAAAACTTTGTTCTTACCTCTAAACAGAGAAACGACAATTCAAGCTTACTACTACAACTCCTCTATTTACACCACTTATTTTAATTACAATATATATTTCCCATAAACTTTCTATCTATACTCATGCCTATCTCAATTTCTTCTAATGATAGTACTACTAATTCCATCTAGCGGTTCTTAATTGAACTACGCGCTAAGCGTGGGAAGCGCGGCATATTCAAATTGAAGAAAAAATTATATTCTTCACATCTCCCCCCCCCCTTAGGGTGAGACATTTCAAGGTACTTTGATATCGGGTATATTCTCTACTCTTCTTTTTTGTGTAATGTGCGTTGGGGTCGACCAATAAGTGGAAGTATTTTTTTGTTGATCTTTGTCCTCAATTGTGTCTATTGACATTATTTCATATGGTTCAGTAGGTGGTCTCAAGTGGGGCATTAATTAAAATTTGCCTTAATAATTTGCCTAATATATATATATTATATAATTATATATATATAATATATATATTATATATTATATATATATATATATATCACAAGTTTTACATATTTTTTATATTGTCTCTCAGATTCTTTGATGTAAAGTAGGGAAATATTCTGTTCATAGTTTGTCTAATGCCTGTAAGTCTCCATTCCCTGTGTATATCTATCATCAATTTGATTCTGAATTGTTATGACAAGATTGTTTCTTCCTTATTTCTAATTTTCTTATAAAATATTCCGTATTGTCTTATTAACATTGGTTTCATTTTGTGTATTATTTCATTGTGTTCTTGTTTCGTTTTTATTTCATCTATTTGTGGCAGGTTTACTATTGCTAGAGTCTCTTCAGTGTTTTGAATCGGTTCTAATACCGGATTTCGGCTTAAGCAGTCCGATTCAGCGTTATCTTTACCCGGTACATATTTTATTTGGAAGTCATATTGTGACAAATAATTTACCTAATTCTTCATCTGTTCTCGCTTTTATGTTCAGATTTCCAAGCGGTTTGTGATCCGAGAACACCTCAAACTTTTTTCCAATCAACCAGTGTTGCCAATATTTTACTGCTTCTTTGATTGCCAGGCATTCTAGATATATTGCCTTTTTCGTCTTTTGAGCTTCCTTCAACTTCTTTGAGAAATATGGTACAGGTTTTTCTAGTCCATCTATTTGTACTTGCTTTAATATGGCTCCAATTCCTTCTAGCGATGCATCTGTGTACATTTTTATTGGTAGATCTTTATCGAATATTTCTAAAACTGGTTGAGAGCACATTTTCTTTATTTCCGTAAAAGACTTCTCACATTCTTCTGACCATACGAATTTGACTCCTTTTCTCAATAGTCTATGTAATGGGTCTAATTTTATTGAGCTATTTGGTATATATTCATGGTAAAAGTTGATCTTTCCCAAAATTTGTCTGATTTTTTTTTTTTTTTTTTTTTTTTTTTTTTTTTTTTTTTTTTTTTTTTTTTGCGTTTTGGGAGTTGGAAAATTCTGAATTGAGATTAGATTACCTTTGGTTTTACTGTATTGTATTCTATAATGGGCCCTAAGTATTTCACTGACTTCGCAGCGAATGAGCATTATTTGAATTTTAATCTAAATCCTTCTTGTATGATTGCTTCTAATAATTGCAGTATATGTCTGATGTGATCTTCAAACGTTGGTGAATGAATCAATATATCGTCAATACAATTTTCTGAACTTTCTGTTAATTTATGTTTCTTTAATATGTTACTCAGGATCCTTTGGAATATTGCTGGAGATGTTTTCAGACCAAATGGTAAACACGTCCATTGATAGTATCCTTCTTGCGTTACGAAACCAGTTTTTGTTTGGTCCTCGATTCGGAGTGGAATTGGCCAAAAAGCAGTTGATATCCAGTGTTGTAAAATATTTGCAGTTTCTAGTTTTGATTATCAGGTCATCTATAAGGGGAAATGGTTGAGCTTGTGGTACAATAATCTTGTTGAGGTCTCTAAAGTGAATGCAGAGACGATTTTTTCTTTCCTTCTCTTTTATATGCCAATGTCGCAGGTTGTGTAGTGTGCGCGTATGTTCAATTGTCAGTGTTCCTTCAATTTTTTTTACTAAATATTAATTACCAAAGTGCAGTTCTTTAACCCTACTTTGTTAAAATCCACATTGCTGTGAATTTGTAATTTTTTATGTAGCCCTTAAAAGGGTAGTTTTCTCTTCACTAAAAGTAACAAAGCAATCGTTCCCTATCACGGCTTGCAAATCAACTAGGAGGAGAAGCAGTCAAGGTAACTGGATAGTTGAGACAACGGGGTATCTCCTCCCATGCATTAGTCACGTCACAGACAGCATCTGTGGTGGAAAGGTGTGAATCTGGCCAATTTTATGCCATGGCTCGCTTCGTCTCGGCCCTCATATTTTCAATTGGGTTCAGGTCAGCTCCACGAGGAGGCCAGTCCAGGACCTGTACTTCCTCCTGCTGTGCAAGCCATTCCTGCACCAAGTTTACTTTCTTCAAACGACGACTTGTCATGTTGAACATTCACTTCTCCATCCGGATACATTTGTCGCACTGACGGAACAATAACATCTGGCAAGATATGGAGGTATTCGATGGTGTTGAGGTGACTTAAAACATTGTATCTTCAAAATTGTATGTGTAAAAAGACGCCAAAACAGTTTGATGTTTTTCCAATTTTCGAAAAATAAGGGTTTTCAACGAAACTGCGTCATGCTCTTAAACGTTCTTTAGACTATTCAAGAACAAAATGTCATCAAAAACGAAAAAAAAATTATTTAAACAAAATTAAAAATTGACTATTTCACGCAACATTTCGCAAAATGTCTCAAATTTTCGAAAAATTGTACATAACCTTATTTCGAAATCTACCTTTGAGGAACAGATTCCATTAAGGGAAAAATCTTAATATTTAATATTTTAGCTGAAGGAAGAAACCGTCATATTTTTTTAATCTAAAAAAATTGGAGTTTTTAACCAACATGAGACGTGCGACATTCTCTTAAACGTCTTTCAGACTATTTAAGAATAAAATTTAATCATAATATTTTATTAAAAATTTTGAAATAGTCCCAAGGGCTTATTGTAAAGTACCCTCCAAAAATAAATATCGATTACAAATTCGAATTCAAATGCTCACGATATTAGCCAGATCAATCGGGGAATATCAATTTTGGAGAAAATCGGCTGAACAGTTTAGTCGCTAGCTTTGTTCACAGACGGACAGACATACGGGCGGACAGATGGACGCTTTGCTTGTCAATCGACTTTTCTGGATATACCATAAATATGGATTATGGCTACCGATCCATAAAATATGGATTATGGCTACGTCGCCACAAAATATGGATTATAGATTATAGCTACGCTATTATCACGTGTTGTGTGTGGATTTTTTTCTAATTTAACAACTGTATGTATACATTTTTCCGATACCGGGGCCCTGTAATAAAGGTTTTTCTGCCGAAATTTCGCCATGTTTTCGCGGAACATTACATAACTATATCTCCTTAAGACGTTGCTTCTTAAGCGCGAGAAAGTGATATTAATGTAATAATTAAAGTAAAAATGATATTTCATTAAAATCTGTCCCCTAATAATAAGTAATTCCGACGTTTATTGTAATAGAATTATGAAATATGTGTAACGAAAGAATTATGTTATTTTGTGATTGAGAAATGAAAGCAGCCCGCCAGTTCCAGAGGCGTCGAGGGCGCCCCGCTGTCTGAACGGGGCGGAAGCCTCCTGCTCCTCGCTCGCGTGCCTGGCGCGCCGCCCCCGCC